AAAATCAAAAACATATAATTTATAATAGCTATAATAGTATATTACAATAGTTATAGAGTGCTTAAAATAGTTATCATAAACGTATGCATTACATTATAAGCCTATGAGACTGGTATACTTTTATGCTCATTTTACCAAGAAGTAAATCGAGTCACAGAGGAAATAGCTTGCTGATGGCAGAGATGGGATACAAATCCAGAAAACCTGGTCCCGCAGGCTCTCTAGCTACCTAATGAATTATATTTTCCCTCTGTATGACCTTGGGTCATCTCTTCACATTCTGATTCATATCTTCATCATTGCTGAAATAAAGGTTTTAAATTACATATCCTCTAAAATCCCCTGTACGTCTAAAAAGTTGATTCCACCTAAAGTGGATTTGGATTTGGATGTGTGATTAGGATTCTAAAGCAGATGCTGGCAAACTTTCTTTAACGGTCATGTAGTAAGTATTTTACGCTTTACAAGCCATGGAGTCTCCTCCAAAACTCTGCCATGCCATTGTACTAGGAAAACAGTCATGGAGGTCAAATGGGTATTATGTTCCAAATAAAACCTTTATCTACAAAAACAGGCAGTGGGCTGGATTTGACTAGCAGGCTGTAGTATGTCGATGCATGTCCAAACTATTATATGTAATAATAGAGGATTAGGCTAGCTTTAGCAAGAACAAATTTAGGGGGTTAGTGCGTGTGGTCGCAGGTGCGTCGCTCTCTGCTCCAGGCGTGCGGGCATCGGCCGCGATCTCTCCGCTGAGATGAGCCGGGCTCCCGGTGGAAGCAAGGGAACCCAGCCGCAGCAGCCATGGCCAGTACAATGGTAGTAGTTGGACAGACCATTGCAGCTGCAGGATTTGCAGGCCATTATGTTTTGCAAGCCATGAAGCATATGGAGCCTGAAGTAAAACAAGTTTTTCAAAGTCTACCAAAATCTGCCTTCAGTGGTGGCTATTACAGAGGTGGGTTTGAACCCAAAATGACAAAACGGGAAGCAGCTTTAATACTAGGTGTAAGCCCTACTGCCAATAAAGGGAAAATAGGAGATGCTCATCGACAAATTATGCTTTTAAATCATCCTGACAAAGGAGGATCTCCTTATATAGCAGCCAAAATCAATGCAGCTAAAGATCTACTAGAATGTCAAGCTAAAAAATGAAGTACATGTATCATGAATTTTAAGTACATATTACTTTATGTATATGAGTATTAACTTTTTATAATAAAATGCCTCAGAGTTACAGTTTTAAAAAATGATTTAGCACACACACAAAAAAAGAACAAATTTAGGAATATTAGAAGTCATTGTGATAGAAGAGATCTTGACACATCAGACTTTCATGTTTTCTGCCTTCCCAATTACATTATTTGGGACATATGACGTCTATCTGGTTCTTGGTTTCTAGGAAGAAAGACTATATAGCCTCAAATACCAAATTAATCCCTGTCAGTTTTTATAGGTTCAAGATAAGCGGACATTTGCACTCGTTGCTGTATTTCAAAGAGCTACAATCTGGTATCCAAATCATGATTAGGCTACCAGGATAATTCACTCAATTCTATCACATGCATGTTATGGTCAAAATAATACTCATGTGCAATAATACACACACACTCTGTCTCATACATACACACACACTCATACACATACATTTCCACAGAAAATCTTACACATACACATTTTAGTTACATTTGCTAAATAAAATGTAGTAAACTTTTATTATTTCTAAAAGAACTACAATCTGCAGAAAACATATTTGTACCAAGAACACAGGTAATTTCCTCCTTAAGGGGGCTGAGGGGAAAATCTTGTCTAATGTCTCAATCTCTGTTATAACTGTATCTATATAATTTAAAACAACTTTGACATTTCATTCAGTAAACAGTCTGCTTTATGCCTAGCACTAGAACAGAATTTCTGGGGAATATGAATTAAATGATTTTGCCTCTTTCCTTAAGCCGTTTTTACTTAATTTTGATATACGACATTCCCAAAGAAAAAATGTTTACTAATGATACATATGTTGAATAATAATGCTGGCATTAAATCACGATAATAGCTAAAAGCAATTCAAAATAATAAGAATGTTATATATGACTACATAATATTTAGCTGTTGAGGGTTAAGAAACCTCATATAACTTGGAAGAAGAGAATCCTATGGATTAGAGTAGCAGCAATGTTTTGGAATTTCATAGTTGCAAGATTCCTTTACTAAACTTTAAGTTGTGTGATATTACTTGACTGTGATAACTGAAAAGAACAAAAATAGGAAATATATAATACAAACGGAAAGATAAATGTAAATGTAAACTCCCACACATCAATAATTATGCAAAATGTAAATTGTCTAAACAATTAAAAGGCATGATATGCCAGACTGGGAAAGGAGGGGGTAGTCAGACCCAATTCTATACTGCCTGCAGTAAAGCCGCTTTAAATAAAAAGATACATAGGGATTAAAAGTATATTTTGTACGTCAATGGAAAAAGACCATGCAAATCCTAATAATAACACCAAAAAAGACAAAAACAAACAACAATAAAAACCCCCAACAACAAAACTAAAACCTTGGAGCCGTTATAGTAATATTAAACGAAGTAGACTTCAGAGCAAAGAATAGCACTAGGAACAAAGGCAATCAATTCCCAAGGATAAAACAGTCAATTCATCAAGAAGATATGACAATCATAAAGGTTATATGTCTAATTATTGAGCTTCAAATACAAGAAGCAAAAACTGATAGAACTGAAAAAAGAAACAGACAAATTCATACAGTTAATTTCAACAGTATTCTCAGGATAATTGATAAAACAAGTAGCCAGAAATATCAGGAATGATACAATTTAAACAATAATATAAACCAATTTAATCTAATTGAGATTTACAAAACACTTAATGAAAATCATAATATGCAATCAGTTTAAGTGCACATGAAACACTTACCAAGATAGATAATATTCTGAAACATAAAAGAAGTTTAAACAAATTTAAAAGGATTAAAATAATACAAAAAATGTTCCAACCACAATGATATCATAGTAGAAATTAATAACAGAAGTTTACCTGGAAAATTCCAAATTATTTGGAAAATAAATTACAGAATTCTAAGTAACTCATGGTTCAGAGAATATAATTAAGGTAAATTAGAAAGTGTTTTCAACTAAATGAAAAAATAACATATTAAAATATGTAGATGTAACTAAAGCAGTACTTACAGGGAAATTTTAGTAGTAAACACTTATTAAAAAGGATAAGGAACTATTATGAGTAACTCGATGTCAATAATTTGACAATGTAGAAGAAATGGACAAATTCCTCAAATGAAACAAACTATCAAAACTCTCTTAAGAATAAATCATTTGAATAGACAGATAGCTATGAAATAAATTGAATTTTTAGTTAAGCTTATCACAAGGCTTCACTAGGGAATTCCATCAAATATTTAGGAAAAAAAATACCATTTTATGCACAAACTCTTCCAGAAAATAGATGAGAAAGAGCACTTCAAAATTAATTTTATAAAGCCAGCATTACCCCACTACCAAAACCAAAACAAGAAACTACAGACAAATATTCTTTATGACGAGAACGCACGGCCAGAGAGAGGAACAACACACACTGGGGTCTTTTAGAGCGTGGGGGTCGGAGGAGGGAGAGGATCAGGAAAAATAATGGGTACCAGGCTTAATACCTGGATGATGAAATAATCTGTATAAGCAAACTCATTAGGATAAACTGTTAGTTACCTATGTGAACTCAAAAGTTTAAAAAATCCTTCATGAACATAGATATAAAAATTCTGAACAAAATTTCAACAAATCAAATCTGACAATATTTTAAAAATGATAAAATCATGACCAGGTAATCTTAGGAAAGCAAGGTTGACTGAGCATTCAAAAATCAACATAAGTCAATATATTGATAGAAAAAAAGAAAAAGAGATCATTTTTACATAAAGTATTTGATAAGTCACTTCCCAGTATAAAATGTATTCTTGATTTTAAAAAAATCTCACATGAAAATAGGAATAGAAGGGATCTTCCTCTACCTGGTTATGGCATCCCTGGGAAACCTACAGCTAACATAATTGCTAATGTTAAAACTCATTAGGATAAACCTGTCAGCTTTTATTTGTAGTATTTATCCTTTTTTGATAAAGTCAGCTTTATTGAGGTGGAATTTACATATAATAAAATTCACCCATTTTTAAGCATACATGTCAAAGTGTTTTTAAAAATGTATACAGTCATGTAGCCATCACTACAATTATGATACAAAAGTCCTTTCTTCTATGAAATTAATCATCTTTCCTCACCTGTTGGCTCCTGGAAACCATGAAAATTCTTTCTGCTTTTTCTAGAATTTCTAAATTTTCCTTTTCTAGGATTTCATATACATGAAATCATATAGCATGTACTCTTTTGTGTCTGGCCTATTTCACTCACCAGAATGCTTTTCAGACGTATCAATGACTTTGTGTGCATCCGTAGCTAGCTGGCTGTATTTATTGCTGAATTGTTGTCCTTTTCATGGCTGAACCATAATTTGTTTATCCATTCAACAGCTGAAAGAAACTTAGGTTGATTTCCAGTTTGGGCTATTATTAAAAAAGCTGTAATTATTAATTATTAATCACATTTAAATCTTTACATAGAGATATATTTTCTTTTGGGTAAATACCTGGAAGGGTTATTACCAAGTCCTGTCTGAGTCATATACTGAGTTGTGTTTATCTTAAAACAAACAAACAAACAAACAAACACAAAAACTCAGCTTCCAAAATGGCTATTGTACTTTCCATTTTTCCATTCCTACAAGAGATCCTGTGTTCCAATTGCTCCACCTCTTACCAACACTGAAATTAGGTTTTTGTTTTATGTATTTTAGTTTTAGACATTTTAGTGAGTGTGTAGTGGTTATCTCCTTGTGGATTTAATTTGCATTTCTCTAAAACTAATGGTGATAAGTATCTTTTTGTGTGCTTGTCAACTGTATCTTTTCTTTGGTGAAGCGTCTGTTCAGATATTTTCTATTTTGTTGTTTGTTCATTCTCTTACCTTTGAGTAGTTAGAAATTTTACATATTCTGAATACAAGTTTCTTTACTAGATATGTTCTGCAAATCGATTCTCTTATGGTTTTTTTTTTTTTTTCATTTATTTGAGAGTATATTTTGAGGACTTTTTTATTTTGAAGAAGTACAAAAAATGTAACTTTTTTTCTTTTATGGCTTACACTTTATATATAAGAAATGACAGATTAATCAAAGGCCTCAAAGAAATTAGGTATGTTTTATTAACAGATTAGATACTATGTTGAAATAATAATTATGTACCATTGCCTTTGGTTTCTATTTATTTTTGCATTTCAGATGTCCTCTTATCATTTTTTTTCTTTCTAGATTGATCCTTGAAAATTTTAGTTTTTGCCTTGTTTTCAAGCTATTCAAGATAATTCCTTGTCAAAATTTTGGTAACTCCAGTATTCAAAAAGATAATTCTTCCAAAACTGAAACCTCAGCTCTTTGATTTCCTTTCTTCACATAATCTGATCCATCTTCTTTCCTCTAGTTACTCATTCTCATGGTCAATCTCAATTTTAAGCAATTTACTTAACAATGTTAAGTAAAACATTTTACTTAACATTGTTAAGTAAATCATAAGGTCTAATCATTTCACCTTCCTCTCTGGAGGATTCCAAATCAAATAATCTTTCAATACATAAGAACTTACAATCAATTGATCCTATCGACTTTTCACTGTATCATACATATCCACCCTCTTGTCCCCACTTCCTTTTTGATCCAGTTTAAACACTGCAGTCACTATATTATAGAAATTAACTTGCATGTAACATAAACTCCTTGTGCCCTTCCTTGCTTAATATATTCTCTTAGCTAAAGCAAAACCTTGGTTAAACCCAGCTTACCACTTACTCCTTGCCAACCCACACACAGTGTAAAGCAGCTAGAGAAAAACATAAAGCTTTGCTAACTCATGACCAGCAAATCACAATTTCACCGTATTTTCCTATTCCATTCACTCTTGGACAATTATTTCACATACTCTCATCTCCTGAAAACCAACAAAGTTTTTACTATTCGAATTTTTAGCAGATGACCTTGTTTCCTACATCACTGATTAAAAAAACAAAAACAAAAAACTTCCACAAATGGCCACACTATTTCTGTGCCCATTTATTCTGTTTCCTCTTGTTACTTTAAATGCAGCGTTCATGCTCCTAGCAAAGGCAAATTCCACCACTTATTCACCAAATCCCAGTCCCGGTATGTCTATTCATGACACTTACTCTAGCTCTTTCTCTCTACCATCAATTTTTCCTTCTCTACTGCATCATTTCTATCCAAATATAAACATGTTTCCATTTTGCATTTGAAAAACAAAACACATGCACAAAACCAAAAAGCATCTTTTGGTCCAAGTCTGCATTAGCTGCCATTCCTATACTAGCCATTACAGCAATATTCTTAGAGAGAGCAGTTTCTAAAATCCCTCCTCTCAGCATCATTTAAACCCAATCCAATCAAACTTTTGTCCTCACTTACTTAATCAGAACTGCCCTTATCAAGTTTGTCACATCTGGAGGTCAATTCTCATTTGTCATCTTGATCACTATTTTTCCATGGTTTTAAAATTACTCATCTCCCCATGCTGACTGTGAACTCTTTGAGATGCTGTATGTCATTTATTTTGCTATCTTGAATATTTGAAACATTTCATTATATATGTGTAACCCTTAAAACATATCTGCTTAATGAATAAACAACAAAATTTAACATCTGAAAATTGGAAATTCAAACAACAGCACATCATTATTTACTAACCACAAATTTAGGTAGAACCTTGTTTGAAAGTTCAGATGAATTTCTGAGGCTTATTTTACCTCCAGAGATAATTTAGGAGAGTATTATGAGGAGACAGAACTTCAAATATGAAATTTTGAAAGCAGATATTCAAATATTTACATATATGAATTTTTTCACAAACCTTTATACATTATACTCTAACATATATTTTATTGTAATTGAATCCTATAAAGTGCATGAGTTGCCCATCCACAAATTAGAAATAAAGCCTAAGGGCTTATATTTTAAATAGTCAAAAATAAAACCAAAGGGTGTGACAGGGTATGATTGTTCTAAAGGTACTCTAAAATTAAGTACAAAGATAACTCATAATGATAGCTACACAACCTGCTATAAATTTTCTTTCATTAAACAAATTGCTAGGACATTGTTCATAAGACACTTCCATGTCAAATGAAGATGAAAGCCTTCTAGCTCTAGCTGAAGTTATTTTTTTTTCCAAAATATAATTGTTAGAATCTCGATCTTACCTCAGTTTCCAATAAAAATCACTAGTGAACATTATAAAATTAAATTATAGTTCATTCTTCTCCATTGTATTTCCAACTACTGTGTATGCAATCATAAAAAGAAATAAAGCTGCACAATTCTTAGGATCCATAACAATAACTCAGGAAAAAATAGGAAGAAATGGAACCATAAACATGTATCACAACTTCCATGGAACAGCTTTTCAAAATTAAGTTTGAAAGTAGACAAAGCTTGGTATTTTGAGTCATCTATGACTCTCTTACTTAATTCACATCAGCCGAAGTGAAAGTGCCCAAAATGTCAAATTAACTTGCTCAAATTATTTTTCTCAACTTTACAATGCCCTTTAGGAACACTATTACTGAGAAGCCATTGTTGGCATTTACAGCATAAAACTTGATTTTGGAAGGCTGATATTGCAACAGCCTAAATATTACTAAATTGAAAACTGTATAGTACCAGTTCTTTGATCATGCTAAATGAAAAACTTAGTTTGTGGATGACCCACTTTTAGTTGAAAAGGAAAAAAAAAAGCAGGGTTAGAGTTAGAATGATTTTATTGGTTGATTCATATTTAGATATAAGGAAAGAATAAAAACTATCTACAATTAAAAAAACTTGTTGAGATAAACTCATGGATAAAAAATGAATATTTTAATATATTCATGTATTATCTCTCATATATTTAGTATGACTTATGATATAAAAAATAGACATTCACATACTGTATTAATCTTACTGGTGCAGAGACTTCTATTTAAATAAAACAAATCATAGTGTTATCCATTTAAAATAATTTAGAAATGTATTCTCCTTTATATTTCAAGTTCAGTACAAGTAAAATCTACCACTAAGGAAAATGCATAACAAATAAGAGTAGAATGCTTATCAGTATGAAATAACCAATCTAGCTCTTAAATGAACCATGTAAAGACTTCATTTCAAACAAAGAATTATAAATTGATATAGGTATCAAAAGCAACTCCTAGAAAAACAATTACATCCAAGGACAACAATTTTTCTACCACTTGCCATGATAAATAATATCATTGTTCTTTCACATGTAAAAGAAGCAGTCATGGTTTTGTCTATTTTTCTTTATATGTATAGACATAAAGAATGCAAGAAATAACTGTCTTTTCCTTGTCTTATAGACTTTCTACAGCTAGTCAAAATATTATTTACAATATTGTTTCTCCTTTCCAAACTCACTGGAAAAAAATATTTTAATCATCTGAATAAAGAAGGAGATGTAGGTTGGGACTACCTGTTTTTTTTTTTTTTTTTTTTTTGAGACCGAGTCTCGCTCTGTCACAAGGCTGGAGTGCAGGGGACAATCTCAGCTCACTGCAACCTCCACCTCCTGGGTTCAAGCGACTCTCCTGCCTCAGCCTCCCGAGTAACTGGGACTACCGGCATGCACCACCACGCTGAGCTAATTTTTGTATTTTTAGTAGAGACGGGGTTTCACCATGCTGGCCCGCATAGTATCTTCTCTTGATCTCATGATCCACCTGCCTCAGCCTCCCAAAGTGCTGGGATTACAGGCATGAACCACCGCACCCAGCCAGCACTAACTCTTAAAGTGAATAAGAACTATCAGTAAGCTAGATCTGATTCTATAATAACTTTACAAAACAACAAACTTACAACAATGAATTCACAAATTGAGTTCATACCTACCTAAATGTACCATTATATTCAAAACCTCTCCGTATTTACAATGTGTATATTCACAAAGTTTATGTTGTTACAGACACAGTCAGAAAACAATCAAGCTCCCCCCAACCCCCTCCCCCCGTTGCCCTTAAAGATAAATAAAACAGAAATTGAAGCTGTGTGTCTCATGGTCTATGTGCTCTGCACTCTAATGTTCCGCATGTCTCTCAACAGCACTGTTCGGTAGTTTTGTTCCAGATTTTCCATGTATTCAAAATAATCACTCACTCGAAACCCACGCAGTGCTTCTTCCTGCCAACAATTATAAAGGGAAAATCATTTACTTGGCTAAGACACACAATTCCAAGTTAATCAATTTTAAATCATTGATACACCATTTATTTTCAGCTATAGATGGAGGCAGGCTGTTTATATTGCTGGTAAATGTGTAATTGCTTTTTATTTAGTGGGCTTTGTATGTATACGACAGGAAGAAACTATATGTCCTCATCAAATAAGGTTTTCTATTTTCAAAACTAAAAAGTTTTACAGCTACCAAAAAAACAAAAAGCCTTAGATAAGAAAATCTGCCTAATTTTTAAAATAGTATCATGTTATACAATGGTTGTTCAAATTTGTAAAAGACTCTAAAGTTTACCTACCAAACGATACCATAATAGTGCAAGAAATATCTGTTGCATAAGCTACTGTCCATAAGGCCTCCAGGAATCTGCAATTCCTAATGTTGGTACAACATACATCTATACTAATTTAGAACTTAATGGTTAGTGTTCCAAATGAGGCACTCAAGAATAAACAGTAAGAACACCCGTTTAACATTTTAGAGTCTTTTAGGGAATTTAATGACTATTCCTTTTAGTATCTCCAAATACTCTCTCTGCAGTACCTATACTCAAGGCAAAACAAAATATGCCGAAAAGTCATCTTTGATTCAATGTAATTAATATTTATAATGTTAGGAGTTTTGGAGATTACAAAAAACTAGAAAATTCATGCCTTTCAGGAGTTTATAGGGTTTTTTTTCTTTTTAGAGCAAGAATTACTATAACAAGAAAAAAAACAAAAGCAACCCAAAAGAATAAAAGACAATGTATATCATATACCAGATACTTTGCTAGAGGCAGTTTATAGAGAAGAAACCTCAATATAGAAATAGCTAGGAAAGCATTACACAATTCTCAATAAGAACAGATGTTTTTAAAGGCTTCAGATATCCCTTGTCACTTACAGGTGGTAATCATTTACAGCTTGCATATAACGTGGGGTAACTTTATTCTTATTTTGCCATCATTACCAAAAATCTACATAGTTTGAGGGAAAGGTTAGTCAGGACATTCTAAAAAATTATTAATGACTGATTTACAAGGCTGATATTACAGCTGAAGAAATGAAATGGTGTTGTTACATACTTAATACCATTAAGGCTAGAGCAAATACCTTCCAACATAAATATCTGAGCTCTATTCAACATAATTAAGAAATTATTTCATCCCTTCTTTCACTTTTTCATTCACTCATTCATTCTCTTGTTATACGTAAGGTTCTTAATTAGCACTGAAGACACAAAGATGAGCAAGAAGAGCCCTGCCCTAAAATGTTGACAGGTGAGGTGTATATTGTGTCTCTGCTTTTATGTATAAGTAATTGAATCAAAGGAAATATTTTTATCTTATGAATAGCAGAAATACTGGGTCTTTGCAAGTTCCTGTCCTACCAAAAATATTTCACTTTTTTCTTTGGAGCAAAAATCGGATCAAAGCAAGAACAATCCTACCATTCAAGAACTCATTTCAAACAGTTACTGTTATAGTCATGGAACAATTATGCATTTATCCATTCATTTCATTCAAGTTTTGTGTGACTTGGCTTTAACTACCTCTTCATTAAAACTACCTAAGATGGGGAGGAATTATAGTAAAATGTGTTATTCTAACCAGAGAATAAAGATCCAATGGCAGGAGAACTGTTTCAGGGCATATACATTATTTTCAAAGGAATATTTATTGTTCATTAAATATGAATTATAACAGGAGGTAACAGCACTTCAACAACAGCTCAAATAATTCTTTTCTGGGCAAAAAATAAGCAATATCTATTTAACATCTTTTAATTATTGTTTCATTTTAATGAAAATCACTTAGGGACAGCCATAGTTATAATTCAATTTAAATATATTCTTCCTAAGAATGTATTTTTTGAAATCATGGTTTCCATTTTAAACATTAATTGTAAATGCCCTGATAACTACACCAAAGAGATACTCATAAAAATGACACATAAGGCTATTGAGGTATTATTTCATAAGAGAAAAATTTTAATGTACATTTAAAAAGGAGTGTTTTCAAATGATAACAGTTCATTACTGAAAATTTGTAGGCAATTTTAGCTCTGAATAAAATTCCAAAATATCTACATTTTACATTTTGTCTTCAAAGTAGAACATTTCACCTTATCCTAAATGTTCTCTAATGGCCTTTTTAGTGGATAACTTTTACTTGTAATTATGACCACTGAGACCTGCCATCTTATCATTCAAGTTATAACAGACTATTTCCTCAGAATACTGCTTCATTATTATTTCACTTATAGACCAAAGTGTAGCAAACTCTATATAAAAATATGAATGCCCCGATTATTTAAATAGCAGACACATTAATTACATAAGGTAACAACACTATTCTGCTTTACATTAACAGTGTATTATTTGCTCAATAAAATTTTTTAATAGATTATTACTAGAGTGATTTAAGTTTTGGTTAGGGAGTTCATTTTGAACGTACTGCATTTTTTTGTTGTTGTATCTAATGCTATTCACCTGGTATGTTTTTAATGATTTTCTCTTTTCATTAATTCTGAGTTTCAAACGTTGAATCATCCAAAAGTATTAAAAATTCACATTCTAAACCACAATGTTGGATATATTCAATATTATATAACATAGACTATATGTAGTTTCCCTCTCTCCTTTGTGTATAGAAGTCCAGTTTCAAATTTCAAATATGCATCTGTCTGTTTTCTTTAACTTTTGAGAGCACTTAATTGGAACAACTGAATCTAGGATATTTATTGAAATACCAGACTAGTCAATGAAAAACAACTTGACATAGTAAAAGGAACACTGGATTTGGATTCAGAACAAAAGAAAGGGTTTCAATTCTCCTATGTTCGTTACTAAATGTATGAATTTGGGTAAGTTTATTGACTCTAAGCCTCAATTTTTTCATGGACAATAATATCACATGGTCGCTCTCTGGATTAAATATTCTGAAATCTGAACTCCTTATCATAGCTTAGAGTACCTTATATGATTTGGTCCCTGTCTCATCTCTTACATTTCTTATTCTTTCACCTTGTTCTGGCCACAGTAGTCTTCCTGACACTCTCTAAATGAGTCAGCTCATTCCTGCGTCTGAGATCTTGCACTTGCCTTTATTCCCACTTAAGCAGGCTTTTGCCTAGGAAGTCTTTGTATGACTTTTTCCTTTGCATCGTTCAGGCATCTCTTTACCCCATCAAGGGTGGTCTTTCCTGGCCTCCTTATCTAACTGGCACCTTAGACTCCTCCACCATGTTTGGTTTCCTTATTAGAAATAAAATAAGGTCTATACTACTTAAGATATTATGTATTTATTCATTTATTTGCCTTCCAGGAGAATTTAAGGTCAATGTGGGCAGAGACATCCTGGCCTGTGACAAAAAACAGTACTTGGCTCACAGCTGTTTCACAATAAATAGCTGAATAAGTCAATGAGTAAATGAGCAATACTTGTAAAGCCCTTTGCCCAGTGTGTGGCATACAATAAGCACTGAAGATATTAATAGTGGTCACAGATAATGAGAACATATTTTTGATATGATGGTCTTTGAAATTGCTCTACTATAGTTTCTTGATCACAATACAGACATGTGATATTAGGCATGGGTGGGCCTATCAAGGATTACTGACTCCAATCTCTGCTCATCAACCCCTTGCCAGGGATATAAGGAAACCATTTATTTAAAATATTAGGATGTTACTGACTTTTCTCACAACTGCACAAATGTGCCTATTCTGGAAAGAAAGCTATATCAATATCTTCAATAGTTATTTGTATCAGTTGATGTCTGCAAAAATACTGCAGATATTAAATTTTAGCAGATTTTTTTTAGCACTACTGCAAGCCCTGTGGGCTTAAAATATGAACTGAAGATAAGGCCTTTTATAGTAGTAAACAGATAAAAGGCACAAAAAGATCAAGTGGGCTAACACAGTATACCCTGGTTTATTCTTCCCAAAGATTTAATTATTAATGCCCTTGCAAAATGATGATTTTTCAAATATAATAGCTCTTTATAAATTATGGAGAGAAAAGGGTAAGCTACTTTGCGTAGGTTAAACTGAAAGAGTTGATTTTTATTAATAACATTATGAGGCATATAGAATAAAAAATTACCACAAAAGGTGAACTTAACATATACTTAACAAGTTACTTAAAGATTCGCATTAATGTCAAATCTCATATAGAAAGCTCTTGAGAGAAGGAGGATTTATGAATATAGTTGTCTCTACCCTTACTACAGATTATCCTTTTGTGTGTCATGCCTTACCTATCATATACACATATGTGTGTGTTTGTGTGTGTGTGTGTGTGTGTATATATATATATATATAATCTTCTT